GGAGCTCTGTGGAGAGCTTCAGCCACGAAGCAGGGGGAAACTTTTATTTTCACAATTCCTTTCAGTAAAGCTGGGGTTTGTTTGCTAAAGATCTCTCTGCACTAACATTTTTCTGTTAACATGGCAACACCTTGTGTGGAGGCAGAGATTTTTAGCTCATCTTTCACTTCTCATGCAATCTACGAGAACTTGTTTTCCTGCATGAAGTTCTGCTTTGCTTTGTATCTAGTTTGTAGTATCAAATGTCTCCCTATTTTTCCCTTTTTGTGGTGAACATATTTATGAATCAAATTGGGGAAATAAAACACCCTGTGTGATCCCAACAGGGACTGCAAAGAATTGTTTGCTTACTGTGGTGGTGGTGGTGGGTTGTTTTGGTTTTTTTTAATAAAAATAAAGTAGGCTTATACTGTACACAGGCTTTTGTCAGGCAGACAGGTAGTCTGTTGCCATGTTCTTGACTGTAGCATTTCTTAAAACGTGGCTTGCAGCCTTCCTCTGCAAAAGGTTGGGTATGCAAGGGACATCTAGTTACCTCTAATTGCTGGTGGTGGCTTGGGGCTGTTGACAGTCGCTGGAGCAATTTCTCCTATCCCTCTCCAAGGAACTGAGCAGCTGCTAGTGACAAAAAGGCTTGGGGCTCTTTTGGGGCTGAGGAAGCAAGCTGTGAGTGGTAAAATCTGAGGTGGTGTCAGCATAACTTTCTCCTGTGTTTATCTGGCAGTGCAACTCCTCTGGGTCCTGCCAGCCAGCTGGGTAGCACCACCGCACTATGTAAATGCTGGCATGAAGAATTAATTTTGAAAATAATGTCTTTTCTTTCAGTTGTGTTGATTGGAGACTCAGGAGTTGGGAAGAGTAATCTTCTGTCACGTTTCACACGCAATGAGTTCAATCTGGAGAGTAAGAGCACCATTGGGGTGGAATTTGCCACCAGGAGCATCCAGGTGGATGGGAAGACGATAAAAGCGCAGATCTGGGATACTGCAGGACAGGAACGATACCGTGCCATTACTTCAGCGTGAGTACTATGTCTTTGCTCAGGCTAACAGCAGAATCCTAGCAGAGATGGTACAGATAAGTTTATGGGTAGAGAATTAATGAAACATATTTGGGACACATGACAAAATCATTACGACAGACTTCAGTGTAGATCCAAGTCATAAAATGGCAAATACTTTTGTGTTCCTTGATTAATATAATGAAAGTAATTTTTAGATTCTAATGATGCTATTATAGAAAAAATGACAGCTTAAATCAAAAGTGTGGGAAATTCTGTTTTGAGTCTTGTCATCTGGGTTTTTTACCTGCCCCGGACATGCTGTCTTCATCCTGTGGAATGAGTGTCATTTCTGCTGGAAGCGGCGTGCTGTTTGGCATCAAGTTTTGGTCTGGGCATACCTAATTCCAGTGGCTTCTGGTCTTCATTGCCCCTCTCAATCTTGAGATTGAGGGCATTTTTAGGACAGTCTGCAGTCACAAACTCCCTTGAAATCAAAATGACTTTGAATTAGTCACAGCCCTGAAAATTAGGTCCAAGAGTGCATGCTGAATAACCAGTACGTAAGAAGGCAACTGTGATAATGCTGACTCTGCAGCATTAGGCATGTCCCTATTTAGAACAGCGGTGTTGAGAAGCTTTTATGTATGGCACCTTGTTAATCCAGACAGTGTCTTAAGATGTAACCTCTGGTTGTATCTCTTTCTATGTAGGTAGTAGGCAAAAGTATCTTTTAGAGGAAAAAAACCTCACAACCCTATTGGCAGGCCTAGTTATCCAGGGTGTATTCTGATAAGCAAGTTGAAGCTTTTTAGTGTTATAGATGTATATCAGTTTTTAAAGGTACAAACAAATCATGCACAGATTGAGCCATTTGTATTAAAGTCAAAGTAAGGGGAACTTTTTTTCATTGAGGTGAAATAGGGTAATGCAGAATAGGTGGGAGCAAAATAGGTGGTCATGGAGCCCAAAGGGAATACTCTATAGGGAAGGAATGCAAAAACAAAGTAATGCGGAAGCAGATGTAAGTGGTGATTTCAAATTGCATATTTTCCATAATTGTTAGCATGGTTTTTTCGTGATTTTTTTTTTTTTTTTGGTGACCCTTAAATTGCTCTTCCTGCTGTAAAAGCTTAGCAGAAAAATTGCTGGCTGGGTCTGGTTCAGAAACAGACTTGGCCGATGAGAATCAGTGCATCTGTAATCCTGTGATCCTGCCTCTCCTTTGTGCTGGCACGAGCTCTTGCTTGACACATTGCTCGGCCAGTTCAGCTTGCTAAGCCAGCAGAACACCAACCAGCAGTAAAAAGTGTGTGTTTTCTGCTGACTTGATGCCCTGAGTCGGTTCAATGATGTTGGACAGGTGCTGGTGGAGCACAGGAGAAATGGTAGGATTGTGTGGCAGAGAAATATGGACGTTGCAGGATTGCTGGTGCAGGTTAGTTTGTGCTGTCCTGAGCCCTTGGCTTGAGTGTAAACGGCTCAAACCTGTGCTCAGCACGCAAACTCTCTTCTCAGATTATGGGCTTGTGGGTAAGTGTCAATACAGCCCGGGGTCCCCCTCTTTAATTTTTAAGAGGGAGAGGAGGTATTTGAAAGATTAGCAACAAATACTGACATTTTACTAGTAGAAAGATGTGTGTTATAACATCACAAAAACCTTCTAGCAGTACCAATTCTGAAATGCATTGTGAGTTTTCTTGCATGCTGTTCCAGCAGACTAAAAACGTCAAGGCTTCTGCAGTCTCTTCAGCATTTTGTTACATACATTAGAATTTTTTAGGAATGCCATTAAACACCCCCAGCATTTGGAGCTTGGTTTTTGGCTTAAGAAACCTCAACAACAGTATTTGCACCAGCACGACTTCTTCCAAAGTGGGAGGAATGTTTTTAACATTTAGTAGTAGCCAGGACGGAAGAGCCAGATACCAGATTTGTTGGTATAACTTGGGCAGATCTCTCTGTAAGGGAATATGCCTTATGGTTTCAGATATTACCGTGGTGCTGTTGGGGCTCTTCTTGTCTATGACATTGCCAAACATCTCACCTATGAGAACGTGGAGCGCTGGCTAAAGGAGCTTAGAGATCATGCAGACAACAATATTGTCATCATGCTGGTGGGTAACAAGAGTGACCTCCGCCATCTGAGAGCTGTGCCCACTGACGAGGCCCGGGCTTTTGCAGGTTGGTAGACGGCGTGATCTGGATTGGTGCTTTCTGAACTTGATGGGGTTGGTGCAAGCTGTAATCATGCTGTTGTTGTCAAGGACTAAACTTGCACCTCAAGTTTTATTTTTGACCCTAAAAAAGGCATTTTAAGATTTTTTTTTTTTAAATGAAAATATCTTGGCTTCGTAAACAGCGTGTGTGGTGGTTGTTTTGTTTTTTTTTTTTAATCTAGTGGTAGTACATGTTTTTGGAACGCTGTCCTTGAGCTGCCTGATAGCTAAAGATTAAACACTTCCTCTAGCAAGGCTAGAAACAGTAAGCAACATCTAGAAGAGAAGATGTCACAATACAACTATAAAATATCACAACACAAAATGTCTTCCCTTCCTTCCTAGAGGCCTGGTTCCACTGAGTATATATCAATGTGGACAGCTGCAAGTGAATACTTGAACCTTCTCTTAGATGGTATAGTTTCTGCTCCAGAGCACTTGATGCATATAGTAGTGTCATCTATTTTCATTTCAATGCAGTGATCATCAGACTTGGAGATTATGAATTGTTGGGAGAAATCATGTGGGTTATGTGAGCTGCTGCCACTGCATTACTTCTCTCTCTTCCTTATCTTGCAGAACACTGGTCAAATACTCTTTTGCCCTTATAGGCTTAGCAACATTCGTAGAATCATATGTTAATTTGGGTAGGAAGGGACCTTTAAAGGCCATCTAGTCCAACGCCCCTGCCATGAGCAGGGACATCTTCAACTAGATCAGGTTTCTCAGAGCCCCGTCCAACCTGACCTGGAATGTTTACAGGGATGGGGCATCTCCCACCTCTCTGGGCAACCTGGGCCAGTGTTTTACCACGCTCATTGGAAAAAATGTCTTCCTTATATCTAGTCTAAATCTTCCTTCTCTTAGTTTAAATCCATTATCCCTTGTCCTGTTGCAACAGACCCTGCTAAAAAGTTTGTCTGCATGTTTCCTGTAAGCCCCTTTTTAAGTACTGAAAGGCCACAATAAGGTCTCCCCAGAGCCTTCTCTTCTCCAGGATGAACACCCCCAACTCTCCCAGCCTGTCCTCCCAGCAGAGGGGCTCCAGCCCTCGCAGCATCTCCGTGACCTCCTCTGGCCCCACTCCACCAGGTCCATGACTTTCCTGTGCTGAGGCCTCCCGAGCTGGCTGCAGTACTCCAGGTGGGGTCTCACCATAGCAGAGCAGAATCCCCTCCCTTGCCCTGCTGGCCACGCTGCTGGGGATGCCGCCCAGGATGCGGTTGGCTTTCTGGGCTGCCAGCACACTTTATTGGCTCATGTCCAACTTTTCCCCTGCCAGTACCCTGAAGTCCTCCTCAGCAGGGCTGCTCTCAATCCCTTCATCCCCCAGCCTATATTGATACCGGTAGTTGCCCTGACCCAGGTACAGGACCCTGCACTTGGCCTTGTTGAACCTCATGAGGTTCACATGGGTCCACTTCTCAAGCCTGTCCAGGTCCTTCTGGATGGCATCCCGTCCCTCAGGTGTGTCAGCTGTACCACTCAGCTTGGTGTCATCCACAAACTTGTGGAGGGTGCACTTGATCCTACTGTCTATGTCATTGATGAAGATATTAAACACTACTGGTTCCAGTACAGACCCCTGAGAGACACCAGTTGTCACTGGTCTCTGTATGGACATTGAGCTGTTGACCACTACCCTCTGAATGCGACCATCCAACCAATTCCTCATCCACTGAACAGTCCACCCATCAAATTCAACTCTCCAATTTAGAGAAGCATGTTGTGGGGGACCTTATCAAAGGCCTTACAGAAGTCTAGATAGATGACATGCCTAGCTCTTCCCTTGTCCTCTGATCTAGTCACTCCATCATAGAAGGCCACTAGGTTGGTCAGACAGGACTTGCCTTTGTGAAGCCGTGCTGGCTGTCTCGAATGACCTGCCTGTCCTCCATGTGCCTTACCTTTGCTTCTAGGAAGATCTGTTCCATGATCTTCCCAGGCCCAGAGGTGAGGCTGAGAAGTCGGTAGCTCCCAGGGTCCTCCTTTCTACCCTTTTTGAAAACGGGTGCAGTATTTCCCCTTTTCCAGTCACTGGGATCTTCACCTGACTGCCGTGACTTTTCAGATATCATGGAGAGTGACTTGGCAACTGCATCAGCCAATTCCCTCAGGACTCTGGGATGTATCTCATCCCATAGGCTTGTATATGTTCCGGTTCCTCCGGTGGTCATGAACCTGATCTTCTCTTACAGTGGGAGGAACTTTGCTCCCCCAGTCCCTGCCTTGCGGTTCATCTACTTGACAGGTGTGGGGAGAGAGGCTGCCAGTGAGGACTGAGGCAAAAAAGTTGAGTCCCTCACCTTCTCCTCATCCGCTGTTATCAGTTTGCCAGTCTTGCTCATTGGGGAGGGTACGCTTTCTTTGACCTTCCTTTTCTGGCTGACATACCTGTAAGAAGCCCTTCTTATTTTTCTGAGTGTCCGTTGCCAAGTTCAGCTCCGGCTGCGCCTTGGCCTTCCTGTCCCCATCCCTACACAACTGGGCAAGGTCCCTGTACTCTTCCCAGGATACTTGTCCCTGCTTCCACTGCCTGTGCGTTTCCTTCTTGCCCTTTAGTTTGACCAGCAGGTCTCGACTCAGCCATGCTGGTCTCTGGCCCTCCTTTCCTGACTTCTTACACCTGGGGATCAAGAGCTTGCACTCTATGGAAAGTGTCCTTAAAGATCTACCAGCTCTGTTGTGCTCTGTTGTCCCTGAGGGCAGTTTCCCGGGGGGTCCTATTGACTGACTCCTTGAAGAGCTGGAAGTTTGCTTTCCTAAAATTCAGGGTCCTGACTTTAGTCTTTGCTTGACCCTTATCTCTCAGGACTACAAACTCCACCAGTGCATGATCATTGCAGCCCAGGCTGCCTCCAATCTTAATGTCACCAATCAGCTCACTTGTGTTGGTGACCAACAGGTCCAATATCGCAGGGCTGTCTCTTACCTCGCTTAAGAAGTTATCCTCGATGCGCTCCAGGAGTCTCCTGGATTGCCTACAGCTCACCATGCGGCTTTTCCAGCAGATGTTGGGGTGGTTGAAGTCCCCCAGCAGGACAAGAGCCTGCATGTGCGATACCTCCTGGAGCTGGAGTAAGAGGGTTTGTCAACAAGCTGGGCGGCCTGTAGTAGACCCCAACCACACGGTTCCCTTTGTTGCCTCAGTCTCTAATTCTTACTCATAGGCTTTCACCCTGTGCGTGGCTATTCTTCAGAGGCAGCTCTTCACACACTACCCAGTTCTTGATGGCAAGAGGCCATCAAGAGGGCGAGGCCTCCGTCCCTCCTTCCTCCCCTGTCCCTTGTGAACAGCCTGTAGCCATTGATAGCCGCACTCCAGTCATGGGATTCCTCCCGGCAGGTTTCAGTAGTGGCAACCAGGTCGTAGCTTTCTGGCAGCATGGTGGCTTCCAACTCCTCCTGTTTGTTGCCCATGCTGCGTGCATTGGTGTAGAGGCACTTCAGCTGGGCTGTCAGCTGTGTCACCTTCACATTCAGCTTACTTTTGTGTGGCTGTCAAGCTTGGAGGTGGAATTTAAATGTTTAGGTTTTAACATCCTTCTATGAATATCACTAGGGCTTGCTTAAATGTGTTTCCTGAAGTTTGCTAGTAAGCAAGTACCCTGTGGTTAGTAAAACCACTTTAAATTTTCAGGCGAATGAGAAGTCAAGTCTATAAAAGAAGCAAAACAAATTAGTAAGCACCTTAGTGCATTACTTTGGTCATTTGGTTCAATGTCTTATTTTTTGCCCAACTTCCTACTAAGGCTGCTTTCAATAGCTAGTGATGGTATAGGTGTTGCCATTTAAGCTCTGTGACTGAAATTTGCCTATTTCTGGGCAGGTGGTGCAGTACCATTTGAGGTGTGATGTTTGGGTGTGAATCATGATTTTTTTTTTTT